TTCTTTAGAATCTTTAAATAGCTCATTGATAGATTTAGAACCTACAAATAGTATGGGTGTGGAACCAGAAATATGTGAATCATTAGAAATAGAGCAAAGCAACAAACAAGATCTTTAAATTTCAGTGGATGCTTCGTTTTTGTCGTGGAATTTAGCTGAAGCGCAACTCAACAGTTATGCAAAAGCTAAAGGTTTTTCCTTATGTTGAAAAAAAGTAGAATTCAATAATAACGGCGAGGTTAGATGATGTACGTTTGAGTGTACGCATTCTGGGGAATGTGTTAGTAATTAGGTTGTTGACCTTTCACGGCAACGTAATAGAAGTTTAGGAAAGATATTGTGCCTATGACACATAAATTTATCAAAACCAAAGGAATCTGCAGTTGTAATTATCACAAGTATAATAGGGGAGCATAATCATCAGCTGCAATCTGACATTGGGCTATATGCTCCAAAGTATAGAAAATTATCATCAAAAATCTTAGAAAAAATAGAATTCTATGTTACAAAAGGAAAAATAGGAACTAAGCAAATGCTATCTCTTTTAACTTCTGAATTTCCTGATCATATTATTCACAAACGCGATCTTTATAATGCCATCCAAAAGGTTAGAAGACCACTCAATCAATGTCAGGAAGAAGCACAAGAATTCGTTGATTATTTGTTGTATTTAAAACACTAAGAGCCTGGTTGGATTGTCAATTTTAGGGTAGATCCATATGATAATCGCCTTACAGGACTGTTCTGGATGTCCCTGATGCAACAACAATACTTGATATGTTATATTGATGTAGTTCAAACTGACAACACTTGTAAGACGAATTGGTTTGACATGTATCTTACTCTTTTAGTAATTATTGATAATAACACAAAGAGTCGACTAGTAGCTCAAGCATTATCTGATGATGAAACTACTGAGTCATATGAATGGTTTCTTGAATGTCTTTTGAATGCCACAGATAATACACCATCTGTAGTTTTATTTTCCGATGCTGAGCCAGCGTTAAGCAGCGCTATTGCTCTAAAACTACCTACAACATGTCACTTTTTATGTATATTTCACATACAAGAGAATATCTGTAAAAATTTGAGATGTAAACTTGGTAATAGATATGATGAATTTTATAAAGAGTTTTTGCATACGCGAAATAGCACGTTTGAGAAAGATTTTAATAGAAGATGGTTACGGTTATTAAATAAGTATCCCCAAGCACAAAATTATTTTAATAGAACATTGCAAAGAAGTATAAGATCATGGGCTCGATGTTACCAACTAAGTTGCTTTACAGCAGGTGTCCAAAGTACCCAGCGTGTTGAAGTAATAAATCGATTGATCAAAGATGGTATTAGGAGTACACTCTCTTTGCGTAGCCTACATGAACATATACAGAATCTTTTAGATAATGAGGCTCAGTAGGTGTGACATCATAGTTATATGAATTCTTTACCTACTAGTCAAATGCTATCAGTCGTTGAATCATTATTTCTGCAAGTTTCTAATATATTAAAGTTGTACTTGACTCCTCATATATTGGCTGTACAACTATAGCAAATTGCTGATTCACTTTTATATAGAGCGTGATTACGACCAATGGAGGATATTCTAGAATTACAGGTCTAATAATTGTTTTTTCTTTGTGGTTTAGTAAAATTTATAGCATGCATTAAGCTTTAGTTTTTTTTTTTTATTATTAGGAAAATCTCCAATTGGATTATGATAATGGCTTTTTAGAGAATCAACTCGACAGGCCACAAAACTCTATTATTGCTCTAATTAAAGATATTGATCTAAGTGATATAATTGAAATTTGGGAACTTATATGCCTATCAAGTGTTTACAAATACTACGTCGTGTTATTATGTGATGATGGATACCTATGTACTTGCATGATAATAATCAATCATGGTATTATATGTTCACACTTTTTTCAAGTGATGATGAATACTAAAGCAGCAAAGTTTCACATCGGGTTAGTAGCAAAATGTTGGTATTATGATGATCGGCAAGATATAAGGCTTGAAGACTTACAGCCGCAAAGCATTGAGATTTCAACGATGTTTCAGCAAACAGCTACTAATATAGCTGTTCCAGATTTTCATATTATAGAAAAAATTAGAGATACTAATACGTATATCATAAAGAACCAACAAGCAGCTAATAAAAAAGCCAGATATGCAAATAGATTTGGAAGAATGAAGAAGGCACTCAATATTGCTTTGGATCTTGGATGTGAAGAAGAGCTAATCTATGTTATGTCTAGCTTTATTAATCAGAAAAAGTCTGCAATTGAAAATATTGATAACGAAAATATTCAACCTGGTGAATCTCAACAGATAATTGTGATGGATCCTTTAGTTGTAAAACATCGTGGACGGCCATCGATTAAGCGGTTGAAAAGCTTTTCTGAGAGTTATGATCATAAAAAATTGGTACATGATGTGACTAATCTTCAAGATCCAAACTTAGAAATGCCTCCTTCAAATATAGATTTGAATAGTTATGTTATAGATAACAATGCGAATGAATTGTGCCATGAAGGCAAAAGAAAATATGTATGCAATTTATGTGGTGGGGTAGGGCACAATTCACGCACTTGTAAGAAGCAGGAATAACAATATGGTAATACTGTATAACATAGTATAGTGCATTTCAAATTGCAAAGCATTGATTCTGAATTACGTAACAATTTACATTGTGTATATTCTGTTTGAAATCGTAGCTGCTATCAAAATCATAATTATTGGTTATGATTTTGATAGCTTAGTTAATTTATTTTATTGTTAGATAATAGAGTGAAGTCATATGCATCTACTCAATATTAGATAAGTATTAACGATAAGTCTTTTTTGTTCATTCTTGTATAAATTCCTATTTGAGATTTTTTTTTTTTTTTTCAGCGAATATAGCCTAGCAACAAGGATAGAATTTTTGATTTGCAGTATAAAATCTATCCTTGTTGTGTCAATTTAAAATTTAACTTTCATAACGTCAAATGATATATTGTTTTTTGTAGTAACAAATATTTCTGTTGAGAATGTTGTTAAAAGCTAGAATTTTTTTAGATTTATACTCTGTGAGACTGCTGCCTAGCTGCGAGCGAAGCGAGCAGCGTATGGCAACTATAGTAGAGTAAGCATATATACTATGTTATTGTATTAAATGATTCAATAAACATGTCTTAAATTATTTTGAATGTATAATTATATTTCATTGGATTTATTGACTCGAGCATAATTTTATATGATTGTACATACGTACATATATATGTACGTATACCCGGTAAATCTGTTAAGAATGTACACAAAGCGAATATAGAGTACAATACGTACGTATGTATATATACGTACTGTATGTATATGATATGTTAGTTTAGTATAGTAGTACAGTATTCTTGTATCAGTTATATAATGTACCTTTACAATTTTTATATATATGTACATACATATATATATGTATATATATATATATACATATTAGTCTAATTTTATATTATACTACGTGACCCTGATGATCATCACTATGGGTTATAGTTAGAAAAATTCAATCTTTAAAAATAAAAAATAAAAAATATTTAATATATAATTAATTTTTATTATAATTTAAACTAAATTGGTCTCTAGTTTGTTTGTTTTTTAATATTATATTATGATATGTTTTGTATATATTAATATTATATTATAGTATATTTTGTATTTGTCAAAAACATTAAAACTCTTTCTACTGATCCCTAATTTAGGAAAAAAACCTGAAAAGTACAAAGCTAAAAATATAACAAAAAGTAATATAGCAAGCACTTATTATAGTATTAGAAAAAGCTCCTAGTATCAGAAATCATCATTGCTTTATTAGAGTACAAAGGAAAATAAACTTTCCGAACAACAAATACAAAATTTCTTGGTTTTTTGTAACAAAATTTTAAAATTCTTGAGTTTTTTGTAATTTTGGAAATTTGTCATTAGCCTAGAAAAACAGAAGATTGTAGCATGTGATTACATAATATAAACAAACAACAACAAACAAACCAAACACATTTCCAATTTGGTAATTATTATTCCAGCTAGAATTTAACAAAACAACCAATAATCTTACAACAAATAAGTGCACGTGAATTATCTAAACAACCTGATCTAGTAGATCGATGGATAAGATTCAAAAATCAGAAATTATAGATTACATCAAGAGGCTGGGTGACAGAAATCGTAGATATATTAACAGCAAAATTCTAGATCAAGTTCTAACAACACTCACAAAAAATCTATGCAATATTGAATATATTGCAAAAGACCTTGCGTTAAGTGATCCAGATTATATTACACCTGATAACTTATTGCTTTATAGTCAAATTTTAGAAGCCCTTCGTCTTGCAGAACTAGGATGGTTAGAAGAAGGTATTACAGACAAATAGCTAACTAAGCTTAAAATAATAAATTAACATCCAGGCTCTATAGAATATATATCAAATATAAACCAAGAAAAAAGTATTCATGATAAAACAAAAACAAAAGAAATATCTAGAGTCAAGGAAGTAAAAGAAACAAAACTTCTAGCTAGTAAAAAAAGACAGCAAAAAGAAGACAGCATAGAGAAAAAGATCAATCAAGATTCCACATCAAGGTTAAGACTAACAGAAGCTGTGCTAGAAGACAACAAAACAAGCATTAAAAAGGGTAAAAAGCTAAAAGAAGATGCTGAAGTACCAGTAAATGACATTCTCTATGATATTATAAAAAATATTGAAGCCATTGACAAAAGAATACAGAATGTAGGAAAAGAAGATAATGATAATGCAGAAACAATATTCCTGGATACAATCAAACATAGTCAATAGTCACCAAAAAACAGAATCTGTGAAAAAAAAAACTCTTTCAAGGCAAATATGCCAGCCTATGCATTGCCAGGAGCTTCAAAAGAAGAAAGAGTCAAATATGTCGAGTGAATTGTAGGGAAAAACCACCACATTAAAACAGTAAAGGAAGTTTTCAAAAAATGCAATAATTGGGTTGAGATCGATTTCGACTATAAATATAGCAGAGATCAAGCAATGGACAGAATTAGAGAAAAAGAAGGTGACTGGCTCAAACTTATCCCAGAAGAGAGCAGTGAACAGAAGAAAATCACTGAGCAACAACTTAAAGGTAACAAAAAAAAGAAAAAAAAATATACAAAACCAACAAGCTGAATAGAAGCAATTAAAATAGAAGAACCCAATGCAATTAATGATGATTCAAACCAATACAACTATTTCACAATTTGGGACCTGTCAGCAAACATCAACTCAGAAGAAATAAAACATATATGCAAAAACATTAGGAAGGCACAAGTAATTCAGATCAAAAGATCAAAGTTTAAAGCTTTGGCAATAATTAGAACAGATTGTCTTACAGAGGAGAACATCCCATGGTCATTACCAATCGGAACCCACAAATTAGCAAGGGTAACCAAAGGTAATGAGGACTATAATCAACATGATTAACAAAGCCAGTTTACAACAAAGTTAAGAGACCTTCCAACAAATGCATCAGAGGTGTTGCTTTTATGTTGTCTTAAAAGCAAAGGAGCAAAGTCTGTGTACATACCACTCAATAGAAATGGTAATCAAAGAAGGTCAGCAACAATCACATTTGCATCCAAAGAAGAAATGGATGTCACAAAATCAAAACTGATAAGATACAACAATCATAGAATTTTTTGGGATGAAGCAAGAGTGGAAAAGAAAAATTCTAAAGAGGATAAACAAAAGTACAGAAATACTGAAGATCTTAAGGTTGATATAAATGAAGAAGAATTTAGAAGCAATATAAAAATTAAGAACACAAAGAGTAAGACAGAAAAGAATACTCATATAAGTCAGCCTAATCAAGCAAAAGAAAATAATATTTTAGACCAAATGCAAGAATTACTGCAAAAAATATTATTAAGATTAGATAGACTAGAAACACATCATATTTGCAATGATG